CCAACAACTAAGCTCAGATGAAGATCGGACTCGGCGGCATCTCGGCAAAGCCGAGCTTGGGACAACTCACGCTTGTCTGCGGTCGACCTACCTGCCGAGCAAACAGGTACCTCGGTCCAACCTTGCCTTTCCTGGCGCTGGACTTTTCACCTGACCGGCTTCGTAACCACGGATCCTTACAGCTCGGTCAATCCACACGCTGCCTTAACCGAGCAACTTCCTTCAAGGCCGAGCCACACAACTTGGCCCAACACCTGTTCGGCCCAAATCTGTCTGGCACAACTCTGTCCGGCCCAAATCTGTCCGGCACAACTCTTCCGGCCCAAATCTGTCCGGCCCAATTCCATATCATTAATCTCCCTCTCAAGGATAAATATAAGGAGAGAAAGTATGAAGGAGAGGCATATACATATTCAATATGTATTATTTTTATTAATAAATTCATATTAAAATATAATAATAATTAAAATTTTAATTAAACCTACTGATATAATTTTTAAATTCAAATAGAATAGCATCAATCAGTCAAATGAAAATAAAACAAGCATTAAATTGATACGGTAATATTTACCAATCCAAACCACAGAAAAGGAAGTTCCTCATCCACCACAACATGATGTTAGAATCCTCTTCTCCCCATTCTTTTCTTAGCAATTTTCCTAGTATGCTTGTTTTATTTTCATATGACAGTCGGCGTCTCTGTTTGGTGGAATTCTGGAATTATAGTTCTATCGATTACTTTAATGTTGTATTTAGTTGATGCTTTCAAAAATTGATTTCACATCCATTTTTCAAAACACGTCTATACGGACATTTCCCAAACTTTCGGCCGGTTGACCGTAACAGTATTTGATTTTTTTTATATTTTAAATAAAAAATATTTTGGAAATTTTTTAAATTTTTTTTATGGGTTTTGAATAGAATTTTGAGTTTTGTGTTTGGTTATGAGGTGTAAATTTTTTAATCAAATATCATATGTCACATCATTCATTTCAAACTCAATTCAAAACTTATAACAAAACAAATTTTCCACACTCAAATGATAATTTTAAAACTCACAAACTCAAAATATAATTCTACTATCAAATTATAATTTTAAAACTCTACCAAACGCTACCTGATTTTTTCCAAAAAGTAAACCTTGTGATGGTGGTATATGATTTTCCCCAAAAAGTAAAGCTGAGATGAGACACTCATGCTTGTTTTAATAGATTTCTCCCCGAAATTTCCTATTCTCCTCATTGCCCCTTAGTTGTTATACAGATTTCTAGCCTTTGGATTGAATTAATCTAATGGTTCACAATTTGTGATGGACTACAGAGTTGATTTGTGAGTCTTTCAAAAGGTCATTTTACTTTCTTGTTTTTATGTATTGCCGGCCGGTTTTATGTTATTTTAGAGTCTCTATTTATGTTATTTTAAAGTCTCTATCATTATTGTTTAAGCTTTGGTGTTTTTTCCTGAAGTCCATCATTACTCAAGCTTTGGTGTTTTTTCCCTTAGGTCATGTTTGTTTAGATGAATATGAGTTTGAAATTGAATTAATAGTCCAATAAAATTATTAATCCGATATTTGGTTAAATAACTAAAGTACGGACTAACAATCCATCCGGATATGGTATCCCACATATGATAGACTATCTAATCTCACAGAGGAGGGTGTGATATAAATTGAAGGACTAAGCCAAAGTCTAGAATATTAGTCTCTTCTTATAATTCTAACTCAATTCAAACATAGGACAAGATACACAATCTAAAGAGATTCGTAATCCTAAAACTATTAGTCAAAGAAATGTTAATCCAACCTAATTCAATCCATCTAAACAAAGATGCTCTTAGAGTCTCTATCATTACAAATGCTCTTAAAGTCTCTATCATTACAGCGCTTTGGTGTTTTTCCCTTATGCTGTGTTTGGTTCGGGGATTTGAGGACGGATTTGAAAAGGGAAATGGAAAAGGTAGGTGAAATGTGAATAAAATATGCTTATATTTCACCTAGTTTCACTCACCTTTTCCCTTTTCCCTTTTCCTTTCTAAATCTCTCCCCAAATCCCCTAACTAAACACAGCGTTAGAGTCTCAATGAGGCTAAAATAGCCTCTGATCTGACTTCCCAAGCGCTTTGGTGTTGTTCCCTTAGGGTGTGCTTGTTTTAAAGGATTAGGGTGTGTGATTGGACTATTAGTCGCACCGGACTAATAGTCCATTATTTGTTTCAAAAGTTTTGCTCCGGACGACTATTAGTCCCATATTTGTGGGACTATCCTATCCTATGGGGGGTGGGATTATTTTCATGGGATTAGTATTCCATGAGATTAATGTGTGAAATGTTCATTTTACCCTTATGCTATTACTTAGCAAACAATTAGAAAAGGGTAAAATAGTCTTTTGAACATTTATAAATTATTTTTTTAGTATTGTTAATTTAAAATTATATATTAAATAAAAAATTTAAATTATAAATTATAAATTACATTTAATTAAAAATAATAAATTATAAATTATGACCTTATAAATTAAATTTTTTTAGTGTTGCTAAAAAATTAAATTTACATAGTAAATATCATCTTGTCCCTATTTGTCTGGTTTGTGCTCTTGCTTTAGTTGATTGAGCTTCCTTTGTCAATTCATGACAAAAAGGGGAAGAATTTTGAGGGAAAATTTTTTTAGTGTTGTTGAAAATTTAATTTATATATTAAATAAAATTATTTTTTATTGTCGTTAATTTAAAATTATATATTAAATAAAAATTATAAATTATAAGGGTAAAATTGTCTTTTGAACATTTATCATTATCCAATCCGTCTAATCAAACATTGGATTCACTAAAAATAGTCCAATCCAGACATCTAATCCTATGACTAAACAAACATAGGATACAAATCTAATCCAACCAAATAGTCCGGGGACAATGTATCTTGGAACTAACAGTCCGATAGATTACAATCTCCTCTTATCCAATCCGTTTAAACAAACACACCCTTAGAGTCTCCTATCCTGGATGAGGCTAAAATAGCCTCTGTCATGACTTCCCAAGCGCTTTTATATCCAACATCACTTTTTCTCCGAATGAGCCTCTGTCATGACTTTCCCAAGGTCGGCCCTGGGCATAGGCCCACAAGACCATGGTGTAGGATCCCTCAAAATAGACTTAAAATAGAGGGCCCCTCATATTATAGTTTAGTGTAATATATTAGGTATATTTTAAGTTAAAAAAAAATTAAATAAAGCCCAAACTAACTTAAAATAAATTGACCAATTAAAAAAATTAAATGGCCCATTCAAAAAAATTAGTATTATTATCCATTGAAAATAGATCCAAAAAGGTGCCTCTCCTATTATAGTTTAGTGTAATATATTAAGTATATTTTAAGTCCAAAAAAAAAATTAAGGAAGACCCAAATTAATTTAAAATAAATTGATATATTAAAACATTGAAAGACCGGGTTAAAATAATTAGCATTGTCATCCATTGAAAATGATTTTACAAAAAGTAAAAAAAAACTAGATTATGCAAGTATTATTGATTTATTTACTTCTAAAAATGTAAAAAGAGTGAGGATCAAGTAATACTTATTAGTTGTTGTAATATAATGCTAAGTATTTTTTATGATTTTGACATAAATCTTTTATCATTTACTTTCAAATTTTTTTTTTCATTCAAAAAAAAAAAAATTGTGAAAAATCTCAAAAATTTATTAATTAATTATCGACTTCAAACTCCGTAAATCTTAGGACCGGCTTGGGCTTCCCAAGCGCTTTTATATCCAACATCACTTTTTCTCCTAACGATCCTATGTCATGACTTCCCAAGCGCATTACTACTTTTATCCTAATGATCCTATGTCATGACTTACAATTATCATTTTTAAAAGTAGTGATGTAGGAGGCAAAACAATTATCATTTTTAAAAGTAGTAATGTTGAAGACAAAAAGCACAAAAGTAGTGATGTAGGAGGCAAAACAATTATCATTTTTAATAGTAATGTTGAAGACAAAAAGCACTTGGAAAGTCATGACATAGGATCGCTTATAGCTTTGGCTTGGAAAGTCATGACATAGGATCGCTTATGGCTTTGCCTTGGAAAGTCATTTCACATTCAAGCCCTATGATTGTGGGCGTTTAGAAACTGAGCCTGCGTTTGGTTGTATTTTGTAAATGTGATTTGAGAGTATGAGTTTTATTTTGAGTTTGTATGTTGTAGAATTATGATTTGAGTGTAGAAAATTTGTTTGGTAAAGAGTTTTGAAAACAGTTTTGGAAAAGAGGTTTGATTTGAGTGGGGAATTGTTAATGTGACATTTGATATGTGATACAAAAATTTACAACTCATAACTAAACATACAACTCAAAATTATTTTAAAACACATAAAAAATTTAAAAAAATTCAGAAAATATTTTCCCGAGCATGTAAATCAATTGCCAAAAAAAAAAATATGGAATTCAGAGGATATCCGGGTGGACGTCCCCAAGGACATCCGGGTGGACATCCGGGTGGTCTTTCGGGTGGACTTCCTCAGGAAAAATTTTGACAAAAAATGCGGCCTGTGCATCAGAGTTCTCTGCAGAAAGTGTGGAAAATTGATTTCAAAACCATAACCAAACATCATACTCAAACACACGTGTAGAAAATTGATTACAAATCACAACCAAACAGAGCCTGAGTTTTTATATAAGTTTTTTTAATTGGAAGATATTATTGGATTAATTTTTTTTAGTATTTAAAAAGATAGTTAGGTTTTTTTTGTGATTAGATGTGATGTTTGTGAGAGAAAAAATAAAATAATTATAGAATTGAATGTGATATTTTGTTTGGATTTATTTTTTTTTAATTTTATAAAAACTTTGTCTTTTAGTGAAAAAAATCAAAAAAAAATCCTAACACAAACTTTCCAAACACCACCTTGTTGTTTTTATATGTGCGTCAGCTCAGCTGCTGCAGTGCAACTCTAATTAGAGATCTTCCCAAACACCGCTTATATATACCTCCCTTGACAAATCTAATAATCCACACCAACACCGTATGCATTTTGTGAGAGTGTCGGAAATGAATCCGTCTGAAACAGTTGTTCAACTCCCTCCGGTTATGGCGGTGCCGCCGCCTGAATCTGCTCTTCATGTTCCGCCGCCGCCGCTGCCTGAAGCAGTAGTTCAAGTTCCCCATCCTCTTGATGCTGCCGCCGAGCCTTCTGAATCGCTAGCCCAAGCTCCTCCTCCTCTTGATGCCCCGCCTGAACCAGTAATTCCACGCAATGCTCAGCAACAAGACCTAGAATTGCCGAAGCTAGTTGTAGCGTTCTGCTTCACAGCAGCTTTTGAAATCGCCTTCCGATCCGTCCAGGCTCGTAAACACTACCCTATAACCTTCCAATTGCTGTGTCTCTTAATGGTGTTTGCACTCGCTTTTCTCATTGTTGCTAAATACATCGTTGCCAAATACCCAAAACTAGGCCGCTTGCTTGAACACGCTGGACTACTCTGTGGAGTTACCGCTTTCTTTGTGGCCATCACCGTCTCTTTCCCCCTCTGCCTCAAACTCATTTCTTCCTGGGTCGTATATGCTCTTTCATTGCTTGCCATTTCCATCTGCAATTCCCCTCCACCGCTCTGAACCCCTAATGCTAATCCTGTAGCACAAGATTGTCATTCAGGTTGCATTTTTATGGATATTAATTTTAATTATTATTGACTGCTTTTGGTCACATATAATATTTATATATGTTTGTGGCCACTGTTAATGCAGGACTAGTAGTACTTAAACTTGCATGCATAGGATTTGGAGTTTTGTACTGTTTGTAAAATGGCTTTGTTTATTGGAATTACTTCCATTCCATCAATTATTAGTATAGTTTCATTTTTTTGATTATGCTCATTGATAGTGAATGTGTAAGGGCTAGCATATGATTGAATTGCACAGGAACTCCCATTTGCAAAATTTTCAGGATCTGAAATTCAATTGTTTATTTTCCCTCTTCAATTCACTGAATGATAAATTGTGGAAACTAAGAGATCGCATCGACTGTTCACGAGAAATGTGCATTTGATCCCAAAAGCAATATTATTAATGCAATTTGGTGATGGAAAACAAGTAGTGAACATTTTTGTTACTTAAGTTCGATTATTAATAAGCATGATGTGGGGTTGGAGGTGCTTTGATTCATAGGATCGAAATAGATTGGGTTCAAGTGGAAGAGCATGTGACAACATATTGACATATTATGTGATTCCTATGAATTTACTTATTTAACTAAGCATAAAATCATTGATAGAAAAATGATTTGTGTAGCCAACAACACTTGAATGGGACATAAAATTTAGCTTTGATTTGGTTTAATTTTTGTGATGGGGCATATTCAATAAATGAATTCTATCAAAACAAGAAAAAAATCCAGAAGAAAAGGGGAAAAATCCAAGGAACAAATCCCATTGCACATATCGTCACCACTTTTCAAGATGATGTGAAACTATGTTGGAGAATCTTTTATTGAAGGCCAGCTCCTTCTTCTTCCTGTAATAATTTGACTAGGTAATTGGTATTTCATGTGAAAATGGTTCTGGTATCACAATTTGTAAGTATTAACAAAAAGCCTCAAAAAGCAATGAAGTTTATGCTAAGACTTCTTCTAGAATACAAAAACAACGCCACATCAAAACAATAGGATAATCTTAAATTTCTTGTTAAAGATTCTTTTGTGGTGAAGATGACGGTCGTTAATGCACTTTGTTGTCATTTAGTTGTTAGATAGCTTGATATACATTGTTGGGTCCATTTCCTAATAGTTTAAGCTTTTGAAAAAAATTGGTAATGTAACATGGTATCAGAGTTTTTGTTAAGAGGGGTCTTGGGTTCAAGTCTCTCAATTGACATTTGGTATTTTGTCCCTGTTTGGTTTCTCCCTCTTTGTTTTGTTGTTTGCTTCTCTTTCTGTTTCGTTCTCTGTTTGTTTCTCCACGTGCAAGACGGGGTTGCGCTTGAGAGAGGCTGTTAGATAGCTTGATATATATTGTTGGGCCCATTTCCTAATAGGTTAGGCTTTTGAGAAAATTGGTAACTAAACACTAATGGTGTTAAAAAAAAATAAAAAAATAAAAAATATTCATGGGCCAACATTTTTTTAAATGTTTCTCATGTTGACATGCTGTTGAAATGTTTGTTGACAAATTGGTGGACGATGGATCCTTGTATTGTTATTATGGTGGTTTAACTTTTCAATGTCAATGTCATGATTGGTAGAAAATTACAAGCTAAATAAATTACACTAGCAATATCTATTTGTTGCATGATTTCTCTTCCCTTTCCCAAGTGAGAATTGCTTGTTGATGGCTTCCTGACTTGTTTATGGATATGACTTTGATAAGTTTTATAATACAAATATATATATTGAATGGTATAATTCCTTGTTTTTTGAACTAAACTATTAGTCGTTAATTTCAGCTAATCATTAATGTCAACCATGTGGAACTGCTCTAATATGTACTGATGTTAATTGCATTTTGTTCTTTGAAGGGATTGGAAATAAGCAAAGAAGCATGAAATGGAATAGCAGGTACACAATACATGTCCTGTTCTTGAACTTTATGTTCTCTCTTTTGTATTTGTATGTATGCTTCTTGAACTTGTATTCACTAGTTAATTGTTTCAAATATATGCTTCAAATTTGCATAACAGTCCTTCTCTATTTTTTTTCACCTTCATTCTCTTTGTCTCTTTCACTTTCCAATGTCGATCACTACTCCATTGCCCTCCATAGCCATCACCCATCCCTTCTCCAACCTCCACAACCATTGTCACCGCTATGGAGGGCAAGAGAGCAGTGGCCGGCATTGGAAAGTGAAGGAGACAGAGAGAATGAAAGAGAAAAATAGAGAGGACAAAGTGCAAAAGTGGGAGACGAGGCGCAAGTCCGTGCGTAGGGCGGTGTGGGGTGCAAGTAATGTCCATGTGGAGTGCAAGTTCTTGGTAGACTAATTGATTTTATCAGAAACAAAAATAAAGGGCGATGGGAAAGGTGGGATTGGTGTTGACCGTGGTTGGAGAAAGGGGGGGGGGGCAACGGTTATGATCAGTGAGGGAGTAATGGTCAACATTGGAAAGCGAAGGAGACATAGAGAATGACAAAGAAAAAAAGAGAGGATAAAGAACAAAAGTGGGAGACGGGAGCAAGTTTGTGTATGTGGGTTGAAAGTCCTATATTTGTAAGGTGCATGTCTGTTTTATTGATGTCAACTTCAATCATACATCTCATTTTAGTCATGTCGGCCAAACATTTGGTTTTCGGAAACTTGTTTTCATTTTTTTTTTTTTATAAAAATCTAAAATTTAGTTTGGTGAACAAGAATGAAAAATTTGAAAGCACCTATCATTTTTATATAGTTTCATCTTTTTGGAGTGTAAAATTATGTTTTGATATTTATTTTTATTAAACTAATTTCTATTTTTTCAAAATAAAATTATGAAATAAATTTGAGAGAATAAAACCAAACGTGGCCATAATTTTTCAAAATAATGTAGTGTTTTAATTTTAAATTGTTTTATAAAACTTTTTAATTTTATATACTTAATATTAATTTCATCCATACCTCTTTAAATGATATTAGTTTTATGAAAATCAAAATGTTATATTAATAATTACACATTTTTATTAAAATAAAATAAAAGTGCAAAATATAGGGAGAGAGAATGTCAACTAAAGAAGAAAGATATGAAGCGATTATGGAAGAGAGAGAGAATGTTAATGGAAAAGTAAGACAGAAGAAAGAGAACATTGGAAGGCACGTGAGATTCTACTAAAATAAAATGAAATTCCGAAAAGTTTTCCTCCTATGCTATAAATACTTCTCCTTGCCACACCACTGTTCTGTGATTTTCCCCAAAAAGAGAAGTACAGATGTAGTACAGAAAACTCAAGTGAGCTGACTCCAAACATATGGCATGAAATTTTGAAGAATACTATCATACACATCTCATATTATATGCACTTTTAATTATGTTATTTTTTTTTTAATTATGATTAATTTTCTTTTTTAATTATGTCATTATTTTAAGATCTTTGATAATGTCTCATTTAGTGTTTCGTTATGACTTTTTTTTTAATTTAAACTCAAAAAATATAAAATTATATTATTTACTTCTTTAATTATAAGGTGGATGTGGTGCACCATGAGAGAGATCTATATGCGGATAGTATATATCCATGTGGTGCCTTCTATTATTGTAATTGGTGGAAAGTAGTGGAATAGGGGGATAAGCTCCTCTCTATACTTAGATCTCTCCACACCCATCCATACTTGTCTTGTAGGCCTAAATTCGAATTCACATCAATGATCTGAACCATTTACTTTGTAGGTTCTATAATAAAAGTCATTCATGTAAAAAATCAATTTCATCGGACATCTATAAACACAAAAACAAATCACATTTTGTTATAAAATGAAAATAGCAAACAACATTGTAAACTTAAATCATTCATTTTGTAAAACAAAGCGTGATTTGTTTCTGTGTTTATAGTTGTCCGATAAATCTAATTTTTTGTATGGATAATTTTTACTGTGAAGCCTACGAAATATACGATTTGGATCATGAAAGTGAGTCCAAATTGAAGCAGACAAAACAAATATGGATGATTATGAAAAGATGGTTTTATTTTTATTTTTATTTTTATTAGATGAAAAGATAAGGTATGAAAAGAAATGAAAGGGACTTATTTCGGCACGTTGAGTGTTCAACTTAACAGTTTTGGCTATTTGTAAAATGGGCTTGTTTTTTGGAATTACTACTTCCATCAATTAAGTCATTAGAATAGTTTTACTTTATGATTATGCACACTCATTGTTAGTGATGGCGTAAAGGATAGCATATAATTGAATTGCTTGCTTAGATATAGTAGGAACACCCATTTCCAAAATTTTCAGGATATGGAGTCTGAAATTCATTTGTTTACTTTCCTTTTCAACTCACTGTATGATAAATTTTGGAAACTAAGAGATTGCATTGACTGTTCACAAGAAATGTGCATGTGAACCCAAAAGCAATATTATTAATGCAATTTTTGGTGAACATTCTCATTATTTAGGTTCGATTATTATTAAGCATGATGAGGTTGGTTGGAGGTGCTATGATTTATAGAATCAAAATATGTTGGCTCAAGTGAAAGAGTACTTTTGGCATATTATGTAATCCATGTGAATTTACTTAATTAATCAAGTATATAACATTGATCGAGTAGAATGGTGAAAAATGATTTATGTAATCGACCTCATTTGAATGGGACACAAGCCTTAATTTTAATTTGGTTTGGTATAGTGATGGGGCATATTCAATAAATGAATTCTATCAAAACAAGAAAAAATCCAAAAGAAAAGAGGAAAAAATTCAAGGAATAAATCCCACTGCACATGTTGTCACCACTTTTCAGAATCAAGTTAGAATCTGTTATTGAAGGTCAGCTCCTTCTTCTTCCTACATAATCTTTGAGTATATATTTGGTACTTCACATGAACATGGTACTGGTATCACAATTTGTAAGTATTAACAGAAAGCCCCAACAAACAATGAAGTTTCTGCAGTTGGGTTATGTGTACAAATGCTTTTATTCGTTTGCCAACATCTTTAAAACGTGTCTCATG